ATTATTTTCAACCAAGTTATTGTTAATTTAATTTCTCTTGAGTTTTTTTGTTACCTAGCTTAATTTCCAGATCTAGCTCTATATGGATATGACCTTGATCTTACCGAGTTAATTGCTATATCGCACACTCGTGCACTTGCAAATTAAAATAAGCCGATCATAAAGAGTGGTCAACCAATTTTGGCGTCATTGTCAGGGAGGTAGCAAGCAAAGGTAACAGATTTAGATTTGATTATTGAAAAACAAATAAAAAATCAAATAAAAAAATAAAAAATAAATCAAATGGCTAGTTTTGCCGCCTAAAAAAATTTACCTCAACTTTTCAGATATTGGACTGTGAACTAGAATACTAATTGTTGAATTTTGGTTGGTTCAACTCTCTTCCTTTCAATGTTTATTCTAATTATTTTATAATATTTATTGTTTATATTATAAGGCTGGTTTTACCACCTCTTGTTTATTTTATTTTATCTTGTTGTAGCTTTTTTTTTATATTTATTGTTTGAAGTACTTGGCTGGTATTACCACCCTTATTTATTTTATTTTATTTTGTTATTTTATTGTGATTATTTTTGTTATATTTATTCTTTGAAGTGCTTGGATAGTATTACCACCTTTTTATTCATGCTTATTATAATTATCTTTAAATGTTTATTGTTGTTAATATTGCTAATTTGTTAAAGTGTGAATTTTCTAATTTGTTGTATTTTTATTTTTGAACTATTACTTTATCTTTTACATTTCATTTACTTTTATTTCCAATCTTTTTTTTTCCTTTTCCTTTCTTTTCATTTTTATATAATTGTTATATTTTTTTTTTTATCATAGCTAATGTTGAAGATGTAAAAGGTGAAGGGGGTGTTCAAGGTAATAGATCTTCACAATTCAATGATGAACCTAATTTTTAAACTCTTAGAAAGTATCTTCACCAAGCTAAACAAAGTACACCTTCATATATTATCTTGCCTTTTAACCAACAAGCTTTCAATTTGAAACTAGCCATGATCCAATTTCTTTCCACATATCATGGTATGGATTTTGAAAATCCATACATACACATTAAGGACTTTGAAGAGGTATGTAATACTTTTATTGATAGAACATGCACCGAGAAAACTATTCAGCTTAAATTGTTCCCATTCTCTCTAAAAGATAAAGCCAAGCTTTGGCTAAACTCCCTACGTCCTAGGTCTATAGGTACATAGAGGGAAATGCAAGCTAAATTTTTGAAAAATTACTTCCCCACTCATAGGATGGCAGCCTTACAACGTCAAATGATAAATTTTTCTTGTAGTCCAAATGAGTCATTTCCCTAAGTTTGGAAATGGTTTAAAGACTTGATAAATGCTTGCCCCCACCATGGTTTTGAGATGTGGAGGTTAGGTGAATTTCTTCTACGACTCTATTACCGTAGATTTTAAAAAGCTGTATCAACCATGTGTAATGGTGAGTTTTATGACAAAGAACCAAGTGAAGCCTTTGATTTTTTTTTATCAATTGGTTGAAAACATAAAGCAATGGGAGACCTCTCCTCCACTTCATATTGAGTCTAGAAACACCATTTCTCATTCAAGTGGTAAGTTCCAATTGAAAGAGGCTGATACCTCAATGCTAGATTAGCCTCATTGACTATGAAAGTAGAGTATCTTGAGCTTAAAAAAATGCATGTCATGAGTGAATAACAAAAGTAGAGTTATGTTATGTATGAGAGCAAAGGGCATAGGACAACTGAGTGTCCTACCATTCCAGCCTTCAAGAAAGTGCTATATGGCCAAACTTCTGATTCAAGTAATGTTAAAAAGCCCTTTTCAAACCAAGTAGGCAATTCCTACTCTGATACTATAATTTTGGATAGAGAAACCACTCAAATTTTGGATGAAGAAATGAGAGCTCTTCAATGCCTCAAACAATTCAACCTCCATCCCAACCATTTCATGCTCCTACACATAACACATACCAACCACCTTATAAGAGATCCTTAGAGCTCTTCAACAATTCATGCAAACGCAAGGAGAAATCAACAACTAAGCTTACAAATTTCAAGACTAGACCAATAGGACCTTAGATGACATTCAAAGTCAACTAACTTAGTTGACTCAATCACCAAGCATTCAATAGAAGGGAAAAATCCAAGCTTAACCAATTCCAAATCCTAGAGGTTAGGTTCATATGAGTAAATCCTCACCTAGTGAACCTTTAAACCATGAACAAGTCCAAGCCATCACCAACTTAGAAGTGAAAAGATTGTTGACAAAGCTATAGGTTTTAGGATTCCTAAAGAGACTGAAGGAGAAATCTAGGAAAAATGAAGAGAGAATCAAAACACAAGTGACAAATGAGAGTTTGAGTAAAAAAAAAAGTGAGAAAAATGAGAGAGAAAGGAGATGATTCAAGAAAAATTAGAGTCAAAATGAGTGATTTAGAATTTGTTCATAGAGCACCATTTCCACAAAGGTTAGTGATTAGTACTTAAAAGTGTATCAATAACTCCTTAACTAAAGTGTGTTTTATAATAACATATCTATTAATATAAGATACCTTTAATTTATGCTAAATATTCATCTTAAATGCAGGCCTATCATATAAATGAAAGGATTGATTGATGAGTTTAAGTATTGAAATTGAAAGCACAAAGAGATGGCCAAATTTAGAAAAGAGATGCTAGTGTAGTCCAAAATAGAACACTGTTCGGTAATTAGGTCATATTTGGAGCTATAAATCTTGGATTTAGGTCTACTTTATATAGATGGAAAGGTAAGACATAGGCATAGATAACTTTCATGCGGAGGTATTGTTTTAATAAGGCCTTTTTCAAGTCCAAATTGTAGCAACAACGAAGAAGTCCTAATCTATCCTGTAGACCAAATATTGTTTTGTGTTCAACCTATATCTAGAATTCTAGAAGTCCAAATGACTTCCAATTTTTTTTTTTTTTTGGAAAGTTAAGACAATTTCCTACAACTTTTATGTGGAGGTTTAGTTCAAATTCTGACATTATCAATAATGTTTTGGGCAGACAATAAAAGATAAGGATTGTCAATAAGTTAAGAGTTGGTCACCCACTCATCAATTAGTCATCAAATCAATAGTTTCCAATTTTGTCCTATAAAAGGAGGCATTTACCATGCAATTAGGCATCTTGGTTTCTAGATCAAGGTCATGCTCTTGCTTTCTATCTTTGTATTTTTATAATGCTTAAATTTTGTTTTCATTAATATCTTGTTTATGCCTTTCATTTTCTTT